TAAAAAAAAATCATTTCAATATAATTTAAAAACAAACACTAAACAATAATAAATACTAACCCGAAGGATCCCATCTTCCACCATGTTTAATTAAAATTGATACGTAATTGTCCATCTCAATAAAATCAATTTTTTTCAATGAAAAAAACCTTCAATTACTCAATTCTGCTAATTTTTAAGGCTGAAGAATTAAGAGAGAGAAACGTTGAAGAAAAAAAGGATATGATTTGATTTTTTATTTTATTTTAACTGATTTTGAGTGAAGTAAGGATAAAAAGTATTGTTAATTTGTTTGGATCCCTTATTTCATGCTAATCATTAATTATCTACAATAAGTTCAAATTAAATTACAGGCCACAATTTCAGTTTTTTACTTTATTATTTCTAATTCCATTTTTAAAAAAAAAATCGTTCATCTTTTTATTTATTTTTTAAGTTTTTTCCAATTAATAAAAATATTTCTTTTTTTTGTGAATTTGTTATAACCTGAAATTTTTAATGCTATAGCTTGAAAGTCTAAATCTACTACTATAGCTTGAAAATAGTACTATAATATATGTCATATATGAAATTTACACATTAAAAAAACTCGACCCAAAATTCTCAACCATCATTAAAAGATGGGAAAATTGTATATAATAGCAAACTATTAATTCAAAGTAAATGTTATAACCATAGTTTGATTTAATTGTACCCATAACAAACTGTTGCTATTTCGCCTCTCTCCTGGTGAATCTCGCTCGCCACTCTCATTCTCGCTGAGCAATCTCCCTCGTTTCTCTCGCTTTTATACAAACACAAATGTATAAAATGCGTTTGTATTTGTATAAAACGAGAGAAAATTGTATATATGCATATATTTTCGTTCCCCTCTCTCCCCTCTCCCAGATCTCGCTCACCTCTCTCACTTTATATAAACACAAATGTATACATTGTGTTTGTGTTTGTATAAAGCGAGAGAAAATTGTATATACAAATACAAATGCATATATATTCGTCCTATACACTTATGATTATACAAATACGATCTTCTCCTCCCCAAATTTCTTTTTTGTCTTTCTCGCTTTATACAAACACAGATTATACAATTGATCATTTGTATATGTATACCAAAACAGATTATACAATTGCTTTCTTTTGTATATGTATACCAAAACAGATTATACAATTGCTTTCTTTTGTATATGTATACCAAAACAGATTATACAATTGCTTTCTTTTGTATATGTATAGCGAAATATACATATTTATGTTTGCTATGGAGCGCAATTATGCAAACTATAGTTATAACATACAAATATGATTTTTATGTTTGCTATATGTGAAAGTTGCTCAAAAAAGATTATCGTCTTACTAACCATGCTAACCTCAAAATAAAAACAAAAACAAAAACACTCTACAAGATTTTTATTTTACTTTTTGCTTTCTTGAACTCTACATTAACAAAAGCAATAAAAAGTTAACGGAAAAGGGTCAAAATCACCCTCGAACTATTCGAAATAGCTCATATATACCCTTTAATTATGTTTGGGATCAAAACCACCCTTGTCGTCTATGTTTTGGACCACAAATAACCTTAAAACATTATCTTTGCTATTAGAGCTGACATGGCAGTCCACCCAGGTAGTCCAACATGGCAAAAATACCTTCCTCTGAATAAAGAGAATGCTACTCCATAAGGTTTAATCGAATGCTGGGAATCAGATTAATGTTGGTCCATAGAAACAGATATGGAATTCCAGAGCTCCTGTCAAAGTAATGAGTTTTAAATGGTTTGTCATCAAGGAAGCTTGTCTAACTCTAGAGAACCTACAAAAAAAAGAGGTATACAGTTAGTAAACAGATGTTTCTTGTGTGAGGAAAATCAAGAAAGCAACAGTCATCTGTTCTTGCATTGCTCTTATACTTCACAAGTTTGACATATATTTCTTAACTACCGGGGTCTGAATTGGTCGACAACAGATTCTGAAGTAGCTATGGACTCCTCAAACACTTAAAGAAGGCATGGAACACCATACCTGCTAGCATATGATGGAGTATCTGGAAGGACAGGAATAGAAGATATTTTGATGGACGAAAGAGCTCAATCTGGAAACTCAAATCTGATTTTATATTTACAGTCTCTTGCTGGTGCAAAATGGATATAGTTGAGGATGCTGAAGTCCTGTTATAGTTCATAGATACTGTCTAGGTAGCGAGGGTTCACTTTTCTTTTGCTCTTTTTGGATGTAATCACAGCACTTTCTTAGTGCTAGTTTTGAGTTTTGGCATCAATAATATTTACCATTTCAAGAAACATTGCCAAAAACTAGGGACCAGGACATGAAATAATTTCTACATTAAGCTGACGAACTATTGATCAAAGAACAGGTAAAATAACAGTCTGCTACTGGCGAAATTTCTGCTCAAGATTTATCTGAAAGCCACCTACTACAAAATCTTAAACTGCAACATGGGATGCCAAAGTGACAACCAAAACAGAACATAATAAAACAACTTATAGATTCATTAACAGCAAAGTGAAGAAAAAAAAGTCACGTTTAGAAGGCAAGTCTTTATATTTTGAGAAAGGTAACAATGAGTTCAGACGGAAAAACTTGATCTAAATTCTCCTGAACTTGACGAAAGTTCTCGTAATCCAATTTGCTTTATTTATAAATGTGCAAATAGCTATTGCAGCACAGATATACATCCAGCCCCAGGTACTACATATCACAAAACAAAAGAAAGAGGGGGAAGAAATAAACAGATTTTGAGGAACAGGAAAACTAGATATTGAGGACAAGAAAAATTTAGAGACTTTTATCTCAAAAGAAACATTTAGAGACTATTCCCACCAGAGAAGCACAAGGAAGATGTGAAAATGATAGAAATACCCATAGAAATAAGGCTATCGGTGATATTCAGGAAATAGGAGTCCCCAAATACTAGAGCAGTGCTGAATAATGGGTAGAGGAACCTTTCCTCATTTTTGTATGGACTAAGAGAGTCGAGCTCAGAGTTCAGTGGGTAAAAGCTGGCAAAAGCACAGGTCTGGGACTGGAAAATACTGAAACCATATTTGCAGTGCTATAATTCCTATAATGCAAGGCTTTTCAAGGGGAGAAAAGGAAGTTGCTATCTAATGGAGGAGGAAACAAGAAATAATATTAAAGATTTTGGGCATAATAAACATTTCCCTGACATAAGCCAGAAGATAAAATGAGTTGCGAAACCTACCACTTTGTCTTTGGGAACATCAAGACAGCACTAGAAGTTTGACTCCTAGAGGTATGCGAACTCTCTACTCAAGTGTAGTCTGGGTGCTTTCTCTCCAAAGTATCTAGTATTTCTTACTCCAAAGGCCAGAATATAAGTGTCTTTTGGATAGATGAAGAAAACAAATGTTCGTTCCCTTCCACCCTGTTTTAAAGTTTTTACTTTGGCACACTAAAGCTCCTATAAAGGTAGCTTGTTTTGGTTGGATTCCAGCATGGGGAGCTTGCCTTACTCAGGATAATCTTCAAAAAAAGGGTTTTGCACTAAGTAATAGATGTTACTTATGTGAAGAAGAGTTGGAGACTGTGAATCACCTTCTTATGCATTGCAGAATGGCTAGACAATGTTGGGAATTTTTCTTCAGTATTTGCTTGGATCATGCCTCAGAGTGTGAAGGAATTATTGGAGAGTTGGCGGCACCAGAGAACACATAAACTTTGAAGCAAATTGGAGAACTATACCTTTGCAGTCTTTGCGCATATTCTGGACTATCTGGCTAGAAAGAAATAGAAGCTTGTTTTGATGGGCAAAAAGATCATATTTCTAGAGTTAAAAACAAGTGTAATTTGTTTTGTTGGGGTAAAAGTAGTTTCATTGATAATATAGATCAATATATGGTGTTTTTGGAGTTGCAAGGAAGATGTTGTAATTGACTGTATGGATATTCCCAGCAGTCTTTTGTAACTTTTGGTTTTGGTACCTTCTTGGTACTTAGTCAATAAACCTTTACCTTATTAAAAAAAATAAAAATAATACCCATTCTTTATCTTGAGCATCAAAAGACACTTAAACACTCTCGCACACTTCAACGGCTTGAGTAGCTATGCCTCTACTGTTGGCAGCAGAATATTCAAGATCTTTAATAAATTCATCAGTTTAACTTTTGGAGCTTGCTTCATTCTTTCCACACACCATATGACAGAAGGAAGCACCCTGAATTAGGAAGGGGTAAACTAAGGTTTTTAGAGAAAACACATGAATAGAAACTTTGGATAAGGAAAACAACTTAGAAGACATTGTAATTTCCTAGGCCAACTGGTTTAGTTCAGAATTTATTGGAACAACAGCCAAATAAGACTATCAGAGAATTGAATAAGATTGAATCATATAACACTTTGTAATCTGACAATCAGCTAAACGACCTTCTCTAGCAAATACCATATCAGTTGCAACATATAGAAGAACAATGTGGCAAAAAAGAATTTTTGTTTGACTTCATCAAGAAATACATGTCTAGCTGATCCTAGCTAGCTTAGATTGAGGAGCAATTGTTGTTGTTCATTAAGAAAATAAATTATTCGATACAGATGATATAAAAAAAAAAATTGTATCCTCATTGACACTATCATATGTTCATTTTCCAGGTAACATTTAGAAGTACATTTAACAGTTGAGACTAATCTTTGCAAAACAAGTTTCAATTGTTGACGAGGCAAACCATTTTGGTCATGAAGAAAGAGCTCATTGGTACCAGAGTAAATGATTTTTAGAAAAAGCGAAAATTACAGTTGTTGTGGCATAATTGGAACAAAGTTGTGTACAAGTGAGTACAACTTACATTCTATCTTCAGTCTGTCGAATGAAAAGGAGTACTGACAAAGTTGCTTGGGACTGAAAACATCCCCTTTCACTTAGAAGGGCTTAGGAACGGTGTTGCCAAATGATTGTTGAATATAGTTACTCACCTCACAGCCCAGTTTCCTATGTGGGGTATATACCAGCCGGGTTGCTGTCCGGAGGACCAAACCTGACTGCTGGGAACCTTCAGGCATGGGCGTCTAGATTCTATTTCTTGTTAAAAAAATACATTCTATCTTCCGTTTGTAGAGCTAATCACTTTTGTTTTATCAAAACCTTCGGGCATGAGGCGTTTAGCTTCTAGTTCTTGTAAGAGTTTTATGATCTCTCCTTCTCTGCCGCATCTGAGAAACATGCTGCATATTTCAGTTAACATACCCAAGTCAGGGGTAATAGATCTTTCTAGCATCTCTTTCAAGACTTCCATTGCTCCATCATAATCCTCATTCTTGATGAAGGTGGATATCAATAGAGTCAAAGTGGGCTTATTAGGGTGAAAACCACCTCTAACCATGCTTTTATAGAGTTGAAACGCACGATCAGGATTCCTTCTGGTACACTGTCCACTGATCAGATAAGAGAAAGTAGAGGAATTAGGAACTAAGTTTGCTTTATCAAGTTCTTTGACCAAAAATGCAGCTTTCTTTGTCTTCCCCTCCTTGCACAGTCCCATAATCAATGCATTGTAAGTCAAGATATCAGCCTTCAATCCATTGTTTGCCATCTCTTCGAAAAGCCTACTTCCCATTTCAGAATTACCAACCTGGCTATATGCGTTTATCAGTGTATTATAAGTGACAACATTAGGAGCCACACCGGTTCTCTTCATCTCGCTGAAAAGTTTGTTTGCTTCATGTAATTTCCCTACCTTGCATAAACCATGAATAAGAGTGTTGTATGTAACATTAACTGGTTGTACCCCATTCATCTCCATCGTGGTCTTAAGTTTCAGTGCAACACTCAAGATGTCCCGGTTACAATGTCCAGCAATCAAAGTGTTATAAGACACAGCTGTCGGTTTCAAACTTATGTTCTCCATCTCCCTTAAGACCTCAACAGCCTTTTCTAGTTTTCCCGATCTGCATAAAGCACTCATGACCATATTAAAGGTATAAACATTAGGCGAAATCCTTGACCGACGCATCTCCTTATAAAAAGCCAATGCAACATCTACCCTATCAAAACTAAGCAACGCGCTCATGAATGCATTGCAAGACTCAACAGTGGGAACAAACCCATACTGCTTCATACTGCAAAATGTATCACTAGCATTCCTAAACTTCTTCAAATGAGCATGACACTTGAACAATGAGTCAAAAACACGCGGTGAAGAATCACACATTCGATATGATAAAACTATAGCTTCAAACAATTTACCAGGAAAATCAACAGAACCTGATACAAGGAGCTTCCTCAAAATTGATTCAGCAGATTTAAACTTTTTACTCTTAGTAAGAACATGAAGAACAATGGAATGATTCTCAAGGGTATTCGAATTCGGACTTTTAACCTCAACCCATTTGAAGAATTCAAGAGATAAAACATAATCCTTTTGAATTTTCAGCAAAATGTGCTTAACTCTAAATGGGGTTAGGCCAGAAGACAAATTCTCAAGCTTAGGCCAATCAGAGTGTATAAGATGACTATGAGCTACATTAACAAAATCAAGATCTTGACCTTTGGGATCAGAAATGGTTCTGTGAGGCAACGGAATTGGGTCCAATTTTCTTTGTTTAGGGGTTATCAATTTCACAAACACTTGGTGGGTGTGTTTGGTTGAATCAATAAAGGTTGAAAACTTACGAATTTGTTTCAGAATCTTCATTTTCTTGAGGAACCCAACTGATATTTCATTGAGAGGGAACTAACCTTGCAATAAAGGAAGAATCTTTTCTCTTCTTGAGGCTTTGAGCCACTGCAGGACACCCATTTTTGTAAACTGAAGATTTTGATGGCAAGGATATAACTGATTGCTCAATTTACAAGACCTATTTTAGCAATAACCTGAATAAATATCAACAAACGGTCTCGAGTTCGAATCTGGTTATCAAAATAATTATGTTGGAGTGTCACTCTTGAGGCCCTATTGTATTCGATTCAAATTTTAGTCCACTTCAATATAGATGTCAGACACGAAAAAACCAAAAAACAGAAAGAAAGAAAAAACCTGAATAAATATCGAAAATGTGTTATAATAGATGCATTGAATACGATTTATTAGTCTTTTTTTTGTTTGTATAGTATATGATAAACTGATTCTTGTTGTAATTTTCTTAAAAGAAAAAATAATTTTAAAAGAGAGTAATATTAATAACTAGAAATTGTGTCATCGGTTTTCTAAATTCTAAAAAGAAATACAACTATATTTTTTAAAAAATATTTTAATATTGATTGAATAAAAATTTTAAAAGTAAAAAGTTAATTTTAAATTTTGTGATTTTAAATTATGTAAGAATAAGAAAATATTATAATAATACTAAAATACTTGTCTACCTTTGTGATATTTATTAAGTAGACATTTGATCATAAATTTCAAATATCTTTCACTTTGTTTTGCTCATGAAAATTGGAGTTGTTTTTTACCGTAAATATAAATTGGAGTTGTTTTTGAATTTTTTTGAGTAATTTAGTACGAAACAACTTTTTGTTGATTTCAAATTCTTGAAAATTCTAGAATTCAACTTCAGGTTAAATTCGAGATTTTATGATCTAACATGTTTTTTTGAGTTTAGTTCTGAAAAAAGTAAAAAAAAAAATCATGGTCAAAGGCCCTCTTAAAATTTATGGAGTTTGAGTTGAAGATAGAATTGTATTTGTTATATTTTTAGCACAAAATATGAAATAAAATTCATGCTTAAATGTATTGTAATACAATTTTAGAATTGAAAGTGAATTGAAAAATAGGTTATAAGTTGTTTTTCAATTTAAATTTGAAATTTTCATAGTCAAAACACTGATTTTTCAAATAAAGCGAAAAATTATTTCAAAAGAAAAAAATTGCCAAACGGACCCGAAACAAGTCATTTCGAAGGTACGTTTATTTTTGTCCCATGACAAATCCATTCAGCATACAACTTTCAATTTGCTAATTTGAGCTTATTTTGATTCAACTGCTTTGTGTTGGAACAACTGCTATATATATTAGGGATTTCGAGTTTGAGTTTTGAAAATGAAGTTGTCTTTGGTGGGGCATGTTTGGTGCATGAAAGATTGTAACTTTTTATCTGCTTGTCAAATTCTTTCTCATTACAAACGAGAAAGAATTAAATGAAGAGGTTGACAACAATGTAAGATTTGTTTATTTGTTCAAGCTAGTAAGAGAAAATCTATGGAGAGTAGAGTATACGCGAACAAGTTACCAATAACTTGGTAAGATATAACATTAGTTTGTTATTAAATGAATTTTATCGGATTTTGGTGCATCTAGATACACATTTATGGAATTATATGGGGTCAAAATTAGGTATAATTTATTTTAGATACATTGTATCCAAGTGTATTCACATATATCTGGAATAGATAAATTCCCCTCTCTTTTATCTCGTTCGCCACTCTCCTATCTTGCATGCGTATCTGGTATCTCAGATACATGTGAATTATATTAGATATATGTATGTATCTGATATACGAATATATTTGAGATACATAGACAAAGCTTACTCGCCTCCCTCCTTATTTAGTGTATCTGATAGCAAAAAACATGTATCTAGGTGTATCTTACTCGAAATATGATATGAAATTATTAATTAATGAGATAAAATGTAATTATTTCAAACTATAGAGTTAATTAGTAAATATGATAGAAATATTTATGTATTTAGATTGTTCTCCAAAAACATAATTAGTAATAGTAGAAGTAGAGAGGTTTTTTTTTTTACCCTTTTTCTCAACCTACTATAAAGATTTTTAGCTAAACTTTATAGACACAATCTAATGCAATTTTAGTCTCATATATCACTGCTACGCTTTAAAAAATGTCGATTCACTATAGTTAGAAAATTCCACAAAATCAGACCTCAAATAAAAAAATTGATCAGAATTTGTTGAAATAGCCATTGTGAGAGGTACAGTAAAAATTGGTATCATGAATTAGTCATTGTGAAACATTGACACAATGAAAACTTATAAGTTACGGTACGTGGACAAAGTTGATTCCTTACATGTCGTGGCTATTGAAATAAATAAGACATTTAACATCTATGTACAATTGCATTATTGTTGTGAGAGTTCATGATGTATTTGAGTGATTAGATGATTGTGTATCCTAGTATTAAAAGATTTGCCTTTTGGTTTATATTTGTTGATGGTGAGTAGTTCTATATGTTGAAGTTTGGTCTTTTTTAATTTGAGTCGGCCTATGATGTCTACATTACATAGTGGTTTGTAATGATAATATCTTGTACTTTTTTTTGTTGAGCGCAGATCATACTCTAAAGATTCCTTCGAGACCTCAATTCGAGCGTGAGAAGCAGTCTTTGATTTAAGAGTGCGCTCTCCGTATTCAAGCTACCGTGGATGATTATAGCAACTCTTGTCAATTCTTTCGGACGTTGAGACACCCTATCTTAGTTAGAATGTTAGATATTGGACATTTCTATAGACTTGTTTTAGTTAGTAGTTCTTATATGACAACATTTAGTTCTTGGGGGAGTTATTTAGATATTGAATTAATCGTACTTTAATTTAGAATTTGACATTTATTTATAAAAACTCAATTGAACTCAAATATTATTTTATTTCTGAATGGTCTTAAGTAGGTTGAAGTCTTTGGTTCGATTGGTTCTTACTGTGAGTGTCACTCACGACCATTTGAATCAAGACATAAATATAGCTAATTGTCAAACTAATACCAAATCTTAAGCAAATGGAATATAGAAAGTATCAAAATATTATAGAAAATCATCTTTTGCAGCATAGAAAGTTGAAGTGATGGATTGAGGTTTCTTTTTACATCGACTAATTATTTTCAAACTTGAAAGCCGAGAGATGAAAAAAAATCATTACAAGAAGATAGGTTTTAGAACATTAAACTTGGAAGAATTCATGATTTTAAATTCCCCTTTTTCAAGTTCATCTAAGTAGCGAATACTATTTGTGTGCATTCAACTGTTACTTGCACATATGAAATTGGGGTTCTATGATAAAATTCCAAATGGATAGAATTTTAATTGAAAAACAACTAGGACCAAATTTGAAATTGAATTTCATTTCTTTGAAGAAAATTCAAAATTTCGATTAGTAAATACTAAAGACCAATATTAATAATTTTGTACCTATAAGTGAAAAAAAAGAAAAAGTTATCATTCAATTGATGAAGAAGAGAAATGACTTAAAGATACTATCCCAAATGGACAATTCATGACTAAAATAATCAAAGTCAGCAAGATTTCAATCAAAATGATCAAATAGTGTACGGTGATAGATTTTTGAGTAGAAGAGGGTGCGGCGTGAATAAATAAGTTCCTAGGGTTTGATAAGAGGAGAAATTAGAAGGAAAAAGCTTTTATATTTATATTAGAGAAAACACATAAAATCACCATTGAAGTTGTTTTGGATTTTCAAAAACACACCTTAACTTTGCAATCGTTCTATTACCCCACTAAACAATTTTGAACATATATTATTATATCATTTTTTTTATCAGCCCCAAATTTTAAGAATCAAGTGTGTTCACACACCAATAATTACATGACACGTGTTAATTTAATTAAAAATGTATTTTTTTTCCTTTATCTCTCTCTCTCTCTTTGACATTTAATTTTGATTTATCTTAAATTTCACTTCATCTTCCACCTCCCACTTTCAAGTGATTCATCCTCCATTTTCTTTCTTTTTCTTCACCTCCCACCCCATGTCAAATTGAACCCCACTCCCATTTTTTTTCTTTTCTTTTTCTTCTTCTTCTCCTGTCAAATTCTTTATAGAATTCATACTACTTTTTAGACTTTATTGAATTATTGAGAACAAAATTAGTTATTTTTATTAAAAAATTTAAAATTTTGAAGGTATCATCAACTACTCATTTTCATATAACTTCAAAATTAGAAATGATAATTTTAAAAAAATCAATAAATTCCCCGAAAATTGAAAGAACTTAATTGAAATCGGATAAAAAAACTATATGATACTTCCTAATCATCTTGAAATCTACAAATTATTCGAAATGTAAGAAAATATTTAGATAAAGTTTTAAAATTAAAGAGAGTAAAACCAATAGTAGTAAAAAAGGGAAGGTGAAGTTGTGGTAAAAATGATGACATTGAAAAAAAGAAGCTTCAATGGATAGAGTTGACAGTGAATTTTTGAAGAAGAAAGAGAGAGAAAATAAAAAGGAAAAAAAGTTAAAATAATAAGAAAAAATATATATTTTATAATAAAATACTTGTAAAAATAAAATTATATTAGTTATTTTAGTCTACTCGCTCTCTTTGAGAGAGTGCACACCACTCTTTGTGTCAGGTGGACGAAAAATGATATAATAATCTATATTCAAAATTGTTTAGTGGGGGTAATAGGACAGTTGCAAAGTTAAGGTGTCTTTTTGAAAATTTGGGACAACTTCAGTGATGACTTTATATCTTTTCTCTTATAACTAATAGCTTTTTTTTAATTTTGACTAATAGCTTTTTTTTCATTTTAACTAATAGCTTTTTCATTTTAATTTTAAGTAAATTTCAAATATATTAGTCAAATTAAATTCAAATTAAGGTAAATTTGAGACAAATTAAAAATTCAATTCATGAGTTATACTTCTTGACTTAACAAGGTAACTAATCATTCACAATAATGAACTTATCAATAATTAAGTAGTGAATGACATCAATTTGACAAGACGAAACATTTGTTTTGAATATAAATTGACTTTTAAAATTAGTAAGATTGACATAATTATTACTTAAAATTATATGTTAAATATATCTAATATCTATTAGAACATTATGCTTAAAACGCCAAAGTAAAAGTCAAAATGATTTTAATAATATTTTTGACTTTTATAAATACTTATTTTACTATATTTTGAACTGAAGAAGGTTGACCAATTAATTAAAAATATTAAGGTCCAAAATTGAGAGTCAAATAGCTTATACAAATGATCTAAACTTGAAAATGCACTAAATTATTATCCATAAAATTTTCACAACTTAAAACAAATAAGAAGGAATCCAAGATATTCTACTACCGCTTATGGCAACATAATTATTGTACATGAGTTCATTTTTACCAAATAATCTGACTTTTTTACACTATAAATACACATGTGATATTGATATTCTATTATGCTTAAAACGACAAAATAAAAGTCAAAATGATTTTTAAAATATTTTTGACTTTTATAAATACTTACTTTACTATATTTTGAACTGAAGAAGGTTGACCAATTAATTAAAAATATTAAGGTCCAAAATTGAGAGTCAAATAGCTTATACAAATGATCTAAACTTGGGAATGCACTGAATTACTATCCATAAAATTTTCACAACTTAAAACAAATAAGAAGGAATCCAAGATATTCTACTATGGCAACATAATTATTGTACATGAGTTCATTTTTACCAAATAATGTGACTTTTTAACACTATAAATACACATGTGATATTGATATTCTACATCACATTTTCTTACTTCCTCAAAGTAAAGTTTAGTTGTGGAACCAAGATGGAGCCTACCAACATTGAAAAGTTGCTAAAAACTCCCATGGAAGAACTGAAGTATCATGAGCTTCAACAACTGGAAGACCTCCTGAAAGCAGCAATGGAGAAAGTTGAAGTTGTGGCGAAGCTACAAAAGGAGCGTGGTGCTGTTTTTCCATATGAAATCCTTGGAAGTGATTTGTCTCCTTTAGAGGATGAGTAAAATTCTTCGTTAAGTTTCGATGTTAGGAAACCTAGGTCTTGCTAATCATATATGTGGTTTTAATTTTACATTTCAGTATGCTTATTATCATATGAAATAAAAATAAAACTTATGTCTGTGTTAATTTTTTCATTTATTGACATTGAAATTATATGTGTTGAATTCACAAGTAATAAAAGATAAAAATTAAATAACATAAAGAATTGAAAATCATCTTAGTTAGCTTGAAGAAAACCTGAACTCATTTAAAAGTAGGGAAAATTGTGCAAAATAGCAAATCTTTAAACCATATTAAATGATATAGCTACTGTTTAGGGAAATTCTAATTCGAAGCTATAGTTTCGTTGTATCTTGTTATTAGCCTGATTTGTATAATTCGTTGATTTGTATAAATTCAGAATTTGTATAATTCAATTTGGATTGTATAAAATTAGAATTTTATATATGCTAACCCGTTCTATTTGTATACGATTTATGAACTAATAATAAATTACATGTTTGTATACTGGCAAGTGAAGTATAGAAATAGAGCTCTGAAAAATCCCTAAATATATAAATACAAAATTTGTATGTACTTACGCTATTTGTATATTCACAAGCAAAATATACAAATGGGCAGAAATATACAACCACAACCACCATAGCAAACAGAACTATAGATATGAAGTGCAATTATCGAAACTATAGCTATAGAGCTTTTTTATGTTCATTATGTTTGTTATTTCTGAAATTTTCTCTTAAAAGTAACCTCTACAAATCTTGGGCCTAAAAGTTGCCCCAGAAACAAACTATTCCCTGTTG